AAGAACAAAAAAAAAAAAATCCTTATCAAAGTACAATTTTTTCTACAAAGACTATTGGTGTTTTTTGATGCAGTCAATTTAACTCAAAGCATCTCTCTTATATTTGTCTATTGTCAGACCTTCTGGAGAAGTCTCGTGTGACCTTCCAGCTCAGGGCTGAGAGAGATTACCACATTTTCTACCAGATTCTCTCCAACAAGAAGCCTGAACTCTTGGGTTAGTACAGAGCCATGCTCATGGGGGAAAAAAACGATACGATTAAAAGTAATACCTATGGATGCCATCGCCTTCATATTCTAGCTGTGTTTCCATTTGTCTGACCTTTGCTCACCCTCTGTTTTATGTCATACAGAGATGCTGCTGATCACAAATAATCCCTACGACTATGCCTTCATCTCTCAGGGGGAAACCCAAGTGGCCTCTATTGATGATGCGGAGGAACTGATGGCAACAGATGTCAGGCTCATTGTGATACATATACAGTACATTTCATTGTGATATAATCACAATAAAAAACCCTATTGAGACAGAAATGATTTAAGGAATTATTGTGTGCTCCTCCACAGAATGCTTTTGATGTGTTGGGTTTCACTCAAGAGGAAAAGAACTCTGTTTATAAACTGACTGGTGCCATCATGCATTACGGCAACATGAAATTCAAGCAGAGGCAGAGAGAGGAGCAGGCCGACGCTGATGGCACTGAGGGTAAGAAAGGCTCTGTCTGCCAGGTTGGCTCAGAACCAACTCACAGACTTTCACAACTTTCCCTGTCTTTCCTCAGATGCTGACAAATCAGCTTATCTGATGGGTCTGAACTCTGCCGACCTCATCAAAGGTCTCTGTCACCCCAGAGTCAAAGTAGGAAATGAGTGGGTCACCAAGGGACAAAATGTCGCCCAGGTAAGAACTCATGGAAGCCGGCTTCAAACCTTGTTATCCCTAAGGGAAATGGTTTATGCCTTTTTTATTTTGTATGGATGGGGTTAGATACATTTCCTGTTCTACAGGTCAACTATGCTGTTGGAGCTCTATCCAAAGCTGTTTATGAAAGGATGTTCCTGTGGATGGTAATTAGAATCAACCAGTCACTGGAGACCAAGCAGCCTCGCCAGTACTTCATTGGTGTGCTGGACATTGCTGGATTTGAGATCTTTGATGTGAGTAATATACAATCAACCCAGCCCTGTTTTTTTATGAATGGAATGATAACAATTATTTTTCCCCTTCCCAGTACAACACGTTTGAGCAGCTGTGCATCAACTTCACCAATGAAAAACTGCAACAGTTTTTCAACCACCACATGTTCGTGCTGGAGCAGGAAGAGTACAAGAAAGAGGGCATTGAATGGACTTTCATTGATTTTGGTATGGACTTGCAGGCCTGTATTGACCTCATTGAGAAGGTGAGACACCAGGCTATTAGACGTAAAGACATGAATAATAAAAAAAAAGGTTTATTTATTCAAACAACTCATATTTTGTCTCCTCAGCCCATGGGTATCATGTCCATCCTTGAAGAGGAGTGCATGTTCCCTAAAGCTTCTGATGCCACCTTTAAAGCTAAGCTCTATGACAACCATCTGGGGAAATCTGCAAACTTCCAGAAGCCCAGAGTTGTCAAAGGAAAACCAGAGGCCCATTTTGCCCTGATGCACTACGCTGGAACTGTTGATTATAATATCAACAACTGGCTGGTGAAGAACAAAGATCCTCTGAATGAGACTGTCGTTGGATTGTACCAGAAGTCCACTCTCAAGCTGCTCCCTGTCCTTTTTGCAAATTATGCTGGGAGTGATTCAGGTACAATGGTGTGAATTTAAACTTTTGATGGTCCAACAGTTTTTTGTAATAGTTAAAGTCACACTTTTTCTGTACAGTTACGGGTGAAGGTACTGAAGGTAAAAAAGAGAAGAAAAAGAAGGGATCATCATTTCAGACTGTGTCTGCTCTTCATAGGGTATTGTATGACATGCTATTGATATGCTATTTTGTATATGAGAGTGAACCAGCATATGTAAACTATTGCTTCACTATATTACAGGAGAACCTGAACAAGCTGATGACCAACTTGAGGTCTACTCACCCCCACTTTGTACGCTGCATCATCCCCAATGAGACCAAGACTCCTGGGGCCATGGAGAATCCCCTGGTGATGCACCAGCTGCG